ATGCCTTACGCCGCCCTTGGTCATAGAAATGATGTAATTTGAATATAAATTATTTATAAATACGTATGTCTAGTTATATTTTTATTACTACGTAAAATATATTTAAGAGTTTACGACCACTGTGCTGGGTGAGACGTTGTTGAAACAAAAAAAGTTATGCATTCCATCACGTACATAAACAGTATCGTAATTCGCCAAGTGCAAATCAGCACATTCGTAAAATTTTTGTTTATTTTGAACAATCCGGATAATCGAAAATCCAGATAATGGAGATCCGGATAATGAAGGTTCTACTGAATTTGATTTACTGCAAAGCATGGAGTGAGTGAAGTTTTATATAATACTGTAGATGTGACAGATGAAAGCAAAATTCATGAAAACCCCAGGAGAAACAGTTTTTTTATTACTCACTCATCTGCATAATTTTCATTTTAATAGCCTGTACATACATTGCTGTATGATATTTACATACAAACTGACCACAATCATTGCAAATGTAAGGCTTTTTTATGTCTTTTTTCTTACAATGTAGATTACACTGCCTTCTGTGCCTTGAAATATCACTCAACTGATTAATTCGTAATTTTAAAACAAATCCACATACCTCTGTTTTAGGTTCTTGTGTTTGTACGAAGCTTTGGTTGTTGTATTGTACTTTCACATTTGGAAAAAACAAGTAGACATTCAATGTTAGGAAAGACTTGTTTTTCTGCTGTAAGTTGTTTTTTATGGCATGCAAGTATTTAACCGATGCATTTATTGTGGCTATGTTTACCCTTCAATAAAACAGACAAGGTCCACCTATGAGTATGTTTGGACTTTATGTTACGGCATATTTAGTAGAAGTTTCCCATGCATATAGAACACGGGGACAAGATCGTCTATGAATTCAAAAGTTGAAGGAGATTCCTCACGTTTTCTACAAGCTTTGAAGTCATTAAAAACATCATATTTGTTTTGTTTCATTGTTCTCACCAATCTAAATTATACTGCTTCAACCGCTTCTAACAGTTGGTGCCACCATGTACATTATCCTACAAGAATTCATAAATTTATGATATTATTAATGCTTTTTTCTTTTAATCAGTCAATAATCATGTTTTGTAAATGCACGCGTTGAGTGTCAAATATTCTTGAGCGTACTCCTGCACTAGCACCATTTTTGCAGAAACAGCTCGCAGCAAACGTCCCGATTAACAGAAACATACTTTAATTTCATTTCTAACACAGCAAACACTACCCATTGGCTGAAATTATTATACTGTATTTTGTGAATTCTTTTAAGCGTTCACATTTAAGGGATTTAATTGGAAACCATGTACAAAAAGTTTTTTCTCAATTAATTTCCCTCAAATGAGAGAGATTAATGTGAAAGTAAATCCTAAATTTATATTAATTTTTTTGGTATCTTCATACTTACCATTTTACACTTTTGTGTATGCATTGTCTATTGGGCCTTGTTTATTAGTAGGACTTATTACACTGGTGATGTTTCTGATTAGTAAAGAGAAGAAATCTTAGTCAAAGATTAAAATCAAAAATTATTACAGAGGATGCGGCCTTTTCTTGCGATGAAAACGCCGGCCGCAACCTCTCTTTTATTTACACTTTAATTACCATCTTTACAAATGTATGAAATAATCATTATTTCTGTTAATACACCATTATTCAATAACTAGCTGTTACCAGCGACTTCACCCGCGGCGGTTTTGCAAGCAAACCCCATTTATATTCAGTATTTCAACAACCATAGTAATTGTTATATAACAACTACCGCTGAGAATGATGAGAATTGCCGAGAATCAAACGAACTATTTTCAATTTGATCAATTTTCTGGAACGTTTACATTCGTTCTATAATCGAACCAATATGCAATAACAAATTCGAATTTAAAAACGTTCGAACATTTGGTTAAAAATCGAAAAATATATAAAAATATTTATAACAATGTTTGAAATGCTATTAATTTAATACACTTAAGTACTTAATGAAGACTAAACGTAACAAAAAATCGCATTTAAAATAGTACAGTAGAAGCCGTTTTTCCGGTTAAGACTTAATCCTCTCCTTCCCCCGCGGGGGAATTTCGAAAAATCTCTTCTTAGTGTGCATTCGCATGGTATATCCTACTAAAACGCAGTTAAAAACAAAAAATCACACCTAAAATAGTACAGTAGAAGCCATTCTTTCGGTTAAGCCTTAATGCTCTCCCTCTCCTCCAGCGGAGGAATTTCGAAAAAACCCCTTCTTAGTGAGCGTTTTCATGACGTACCCTGTGTACCAAATTTCACTTCTTTAGGTTCTGCGGTGTTTGTTCTAGGCGATGATGAATCAGTCAGTGAATGAGTCAGTCAGTACAAGCAATTTTATATATATAGACTAGCTGCATGGACCTGCTTCGCTGGGTTTTTATTTGTTCGTACATTTGTATGTAATGTAGTTTTTGTTTTTTATATATAAAAGACTGTTTTTCTAAGTAATCTAGAATCTAGCTGCAAGGACTCGCTTCGCTGGGTTTTTATTTGTGGGCAAAAAGTAACGATAGTGAAGATTAAGATAATTACATTATAGCCAATCTTACCCGTTTTTACAAAATGCAAAAAATAGGTCCCCCGTTTCCAGACTAATTAGAGACCTGGTCCCGATTCTATTTCTGAACGTCTCCTGTTCACGTCCAGTCAAACGAACTATTTTCAACGTTTCTGGAATGTTTACAATCGTACTATAATCGAACCAATATTCGAATTTTATGTTTGAATTTAATTTGGATATTGTTCGAATTAAAATCGAACAAATTCGAACATAACATTCGAAATAGAAAACCACTTTCAACCACTTTCAGCCCCATATCTTTCGCATCCTTATAGCTATCGAGACGCAACCACTATAGTGCACGAATGGAGAAGTGGAGACCGCTACCACATACAAACACCATTCATGTGCGATGTGTAGTTTTGGCTAAAAAGTGAAATATAGGGACACACACGTACATTTATATATACAGTAGAACCTCGATTATCCGACCCAATTGGGGACTGNAACAGTGACGCCTCACTTTTCGATTGTCAGGCCGAATTACGCGTAGGCGGGTAACAAATATCTTATGATTTAAATTCCACATAAACGAAAAGTAAGGCTAATTATAGATGATGTGTCAAATATGTTCGCGAACGGGTTTGGCTTGAGCCATAGTTTGGACACTACGATAAAAATGATAATGATGATATTTCATCATTATCATTTTTATCGTCTTTATTTCACGAATAATTTGTTATTTTTAAGTGCTCATTTATAAAAACAAAAAAAAATTTACATTGAATTCTTATTTCTGACTAAAAGTATCTATTTGATAATTTAATTTAAGTATTTTCTAGATTTCAGCATATTTTTATTAAAATTGTACAAACAAGTCTATTTCATTCTTTCAGATATGTATTTTATTTTATTTTTTTAGATATTCAGTGTTTATAATTCTATGAGTTCTTATCTTTTCTTTCTGCACAAAGTTTTTAATGAATATGGAACAAGGAAATTTCGGAAGTTCCGATCGGAAAGTGAATCTTGATCTCCGGATTAGCTCAATAATATCCAGCATCCGGTAGTCTTTTATAGACAAATGTTAATGCATAAATTTTATTTAAGTGCTGTTTTAAATAATTAAACTAAAATATTATTATTTATTTATATCAAAAGTTTCTTTAATAGAATGAGATTGGAAATTTCAGATATTAAAATCATCAGATGTATCATTTAAAATTTATAAAATTAATTTTGTCTTTGTTCACTTATTTCACCGGACAGTAATTNTTTAAAATAATAATCATCGCTATTGTACCGTTAAAAATTAGAAAGTTAAGCCTCGTTTAAATACTGGCTCTCTTTCATGGTCGATCCAGTGTTGCCAGCTAAAACACGTAAAAATAATATTAAAGCAGCCAAGACATAGCCAAATATTGTAGTGCCACATCACTAGCGGACATTTGAAATTTGCCGACTAGGACGGTCGGTTAACCGAGGGGTCGGTTGATAGGGGGTCGGATAATCGAGGCTCTACTGTATATAGATAATTAATGTAGCAAATAAAGTTTTTCTTATACAAATATGTATATGTTTTGGATAAACTTCTGTGGTCCTTAAATATTTTCTAAAATCAATTATTGATTTAGCCTTTCTTTATTCACTTTCTAAGACAAAAAACTCACAGTTATAATTTTTGTCACGTTATGATACTTCAATGCAGCATTACTTTACCGCATTTTCTTTTAAAGAAAACGTGCTTGCCACTGGTTTATTTTTATTTACCATTGTGACTTTTTTACTTTTATACCCGTGTACGTTAATTCTTGATATCTTTGTTTAACGAAAAGTTGTGAAAATGGATAATTTCGATAAATGGAGATTTCGGAATAAAAATTTCATCTCAAAAAATTAAGCTTACTATAACTGTGAACGATTGTATCTGCTGGTAATTTCATATTAATATAGCTGGTTTTGTATGCATTATTTATTTACCTTATACTTCGTATCACTTCAGAAATGTTTCAAATACATTGTAATTGCAGTAGTTAGAAGGGTGATGTAATATATACAAAAATTTTTCATTGTGTGTTTTGGAAATTTGCACTTCTTGAAAAGTCACAGTAATTGTTAATAAGTATTTATATATATTATTTATTGTCTTTCATTAGATTTTAATTATAATAAGAATCTGTAGAAAAAAATAACTGCATTGAACAATAAAAAATAATTTGTCTATTTTTCAGTTGGCTTTTTCCAATAATAATCAAAGGAACAAAGCGCCGTTTAGAAGAAGAAGATTTATACGAAATTTCGAAATATCATAGTTCAGAATATCTTGGAAATATGATTCAGAAGTAAGTTAATCAACTTCTAATGTTTATTCTGATTAAACTGATCACTTGTCTAAATTAGCCAAAAGAGATAAGGAGAATTTATTCTTTTAAGTCACAAGTACTTTCACCATGTGAAATGAAACTGTGATTATAGATAACTTAGGTATTGTGGTATTTACCACAATACCTAAGTTACAGTGACCAAGCTAATTGTTATAAAATGAGTTGGCTGAAGTATTAAACAATTTGGATTGTTCATAAACAGTTTTCTTACATTTACATTTTCTTTTATAAATAGTATATAACCGCTTTTATTCTGTTTTTTTTTTCTTCAAAAAATAATGACCGTGTAATTGTTTTAATGATTTATTACACCGTTTTATCGGACGATAATAGTTTATAAACATTCATAAAATTTCGAGTACTTGCCAATGTTTATGTTTCTTGTCAACATGAGTGCCTATATCTTTAGTATATAGAAGCGTGAAATATTTGTTATGTGTACAAATTAATGTTAAATTTTCTAGATATAACGAAATTGTTTAAGACCGCGTGTTTTAATAATAAACATTCTTCGTATTTCACTACTTAAAAATACATGACCATGTATCTTAAGTCCCATAAAGCTCTGGAAGACGTTTATGATCAAGGAAAAATTTATGATGTTTGTTTTCTGAAAACTGATTACAATATTTGAGAATTTTATTCAAAACATAAATAACAGTATTGCGTTTTGTTAATGATTTTTTTAAATTCTAATTTTTAAAACCGATTTTACTATGTGGGTAGATAGAAAGTGTTTTTTGTAAGTTCCTTATGAGTTAGGCTGGGCTAAAATTGATGCAGCCAGTGCTGTAGGACAAAACCTGATATATTCAGATGGCATCCTGAAAATTCCTTGAAATTTACTGAATATTCTCACTTCCTCAGCCGTTTCTTTACAAATATAAACAAAACACCAAACGCTTGCTGAGCTTATTATTACTTTAATTTCACGTTTTTGTTCACGTTTTTTAAAATTTGGTCTTGACAGATATAAGTTAATTCGAGATGGCAATGCCATTGGTCCTTTTAATACTGAACACAACTCCCTCTTTGCAAGCAAACATTNAAATATAAAATATTAAAGACTAATACGAATAAGTTATTCTTGTCTTCTTTGTCGACTTCTTATATCATCACAGGCACATGATCCACGTACAAATATATTTTATATAAATATATTTCGTTATGGATGTTTCAGAATTTTTCTTTATAATGAAAGTCCTGTTAGTAATATCAGGAGGCAATCGCTCTTATCGATATCCCCTGCATCTGCTTCTGCATGAAAGGATTGGAACGACTTCTTAATAGCATAGTTTTAGTTTACTAAAACTACACACACATAAGGACTAAAACTAAAATAGCATTACTTCTTAACGCCGATAGCACAGAAAGAATTTTATGTATACTGTATTCGAAAGCTGTTTAATCAAACTACTGTATTTTAAAACCATTTAATCTTTATTTTAAATTTTTTGCTATATTTTAACTATATTAAATTTATCATTCTGTAATACATTTTTTAAACTAAATTTATGTTGCTTTATATAGCCTACATGAAGAACAACCATTATATTTTTAAATGTATATAGAAGATCGGTATTCTTTAAATACAAATTGGAACATTACACTGTACAAACATAAATACGAAAAAATGATTTATAAAGAAGGTTCAAATTTCAACAGTTCTGACAAAAGTAAAATGACGAATGGAATGTGTTGAAAACAAATATAAAAATTCGAAAAGAAAATGATAGTGTGCATTTTAACAGAACAAACAGGAAATGTCATTATTAATATNCAAATTTAATTATCCGACCGTAAATCACACTACTTAAAAACTTCAGAAGCAAACACTTAAAAAGCAATCGGACATTACAGAAAAGCCGAACTAACACAATCCTTCATATATTTAGGGGTACGTGATAAGTCCTCTTTTTTTCGTTTTTGATTAAACAAAATGCGGAACGTATTAATTTGACCCGGTGTACAAGTGTACAATTAGTACTAGTTCTGTCTGCAATAGAAGCTGAGATAATTTTACTACTCTTGGAGTAGGGGAAAATTCACTAATGCATCAATGAATAGCTCATGCTCGACAATGTACAAGCAAAACATTGTTTACATGAATCTGTTAGTTCTTTCTGACTTATTAGCCTAAACTGCTTCTTAGGAAACACACTATATATAGCTGCATAAGTTCTATTGCTTTAGTCAGTGCCGTAACTAGCCATTCCTGTGATCTGTGCAAGAATTTGTATTTATTCCCTTAATTAATTAGGTTTGGGAAAATAATAAAACAAAAACATGCATTTTGAGTCCTCCTTCCAAATGGACCCTGAGCGGGTGCACCTGCTGCACCTACCTAGTTACGGCACTGACTTTAGTAATTATTTAAAATAAATTAAATAAAATTACAACATAAAAAAATAACAAAATTGAAAATTAATAATAAAAGTATTAAAATATAAACATATTATTTTAAAGAAATAATGAAATTTCATTGTAAAAATATAAAATATTAAAGACTAATACGAATAAGTTATTCTTGTCTTCTTTGTCGACTTCTTATATCATCACAGGCACATGATCCACGTACAAATATATTTTATATAAATATATTTCGTTATGGATGTTTCAGAATTTTTCTTTATAATGAAAGTCCTGTTAGTAATATCAGGAGGCAATCGCTCTTATCGATATCCCCTGCATCTGCTTCTGCATGAAAGGATTGGAACGACTTCTTAATAGCATAGTTTTAGTTTACTAAAACTACACACACATAAGGACTAAAACTAAAATAGCATTACTTCTTAACGCCGATAGCACAGAAAGAATTTTATGTATACTGTATTCGAAAGCTGTTTAATCAAACTACTGTATTTTAAAACCATTTAATCTTTATTTTAAATTTTTTGCTATATTTTAACTATATTAAATTTATCATTCTGTAATACATTTTTTAAACTAAATTTATGTTGCTTTATATAGCCTACATGAAGAACAACCATTATATTTTTAAATGTATATAGAAGATCGGTATTCTTTAAATACAAATTGGAACATTACACTGTACAAACATAAATACGAAAAAATGATTTATAAAGAAGGTTCAAATTTCAACAGTTCTGACAAAAGTAAAATGACGAATGGAATGTGTTGAAAACAAATATAAAAATTCGAAAAGAAAATGATAGTGTGCATTTTAACAGAACAAACAGGAAATGTCATTATTAATATAAATAGAACGATACACGAAAAATTGAATTTATTGAAACCACAGTCACTTCTAAGTCATATAATTAAATCTTATAAATTTACAAGAATAAATCGCATGATTTTAATCACTTCGGAAAATTAAACCATTAAATATCTATTTTTAAAAGATTTTTCCTTCTAATGATATTAAAAAGGACTCAAAGTATATATTTTTTGATATTTTTAATAAGATATCTAAATATATATAATATATTTCTATGCAATAAATTCAAATGTTTAATTTTTCATTAAAAAATGTTCCAGTTATCTCTTAAAGTGGCGTAGAGTCATAATCAGTTTACTATACATTTAAAACTTTAATTATTAATAAAGTACATTTTGATCTTAATTTAAGATCACGATAATGATGAATCATAATCATATTAAAAAATAGTAAAATGTATACAAAATGTCTTCGGTTTAAAATTTTGTAAAAAGTCTATTTTGTTTTATAAAGAAATTATACAATAAATCGTAGAAAAATAATAAATACAGGTATACCTCGCCTTACGTCGGTAATTGGTTCCAGGAGAACGACGTAAGTCGAATTTACTTGTCTCCGAGTCACTAGGCTAAACCATAAATTACCATTCCCGGTTCTGTATTTTAATTATTAATGCATTTTTAATAATGTATGGTTAATAAGGATCTATTTTAAGCTTACAAACAAATAAATTTTAGTTTTTAATATAGTACAGAAAAAAGTATTCTAAATTTACGAATGCATGTACTGTAAATACAGAACATACTAGTATATATTTTAATATGATTTTATGTGCTTTAAACGTTCTTCTAGTGATATTACGACTTCAATATTTGTGGCGGACAGACGTAAAGTCGAATAAAATGACTTAAACTTGATTTTTATTTTTCCATATACTTTTTTGACAAACGACGTATAATCGGGAACGACGTAACTCGAAACGACGTAAGTCGAGGTNCTCATCTGCTAGTGTATATATACACTAGCAGATGAGCCCGGCGCATATATATATATATGACTATGCTGAGTTAAGATTACATCGATCTTGTGACATATAGCAACGTCGCACAGCCTCACTCTTCAAATCGGTTTCGCTTGTTTCTTGGAGTCTTAGCACACTACATGTCCAAACACATTTTGATTTGAACATTACTAGAATGATTTATTATTAATTGACTGACTTCATATTAACAGGTGCCGGATTAATAAACCATTATAGTATTTTCATAATAAAATGATAGTATTGAAAGCGCTATTAATAACTTATAAATTAAAAAGAATTGAAGTATTAATTAGAAATATTGTTTTAATTTATTACGTTTCGTTGCAATTTCGTTATCAGAGAGTGGAACGAAGAACTACAGAAGAGAAATCCAAACATACTGAAAGCTGTATTACGATTAGTTGGATGGAAATTTTTAATACTAATTTTACTTACATTGGTTCAGGTACTTTACAGTTGTTTCGCTTAAACATTAATCATATATCAAAATAATTTAAATAACTGATATTTATGTACATTTGCAGGAAACGGCCGTAGTTGCAGGAGAATTATACTTTTTAGGATTAACAGTACATTATTTTGAAAATAGGTCGGAATGGAATTCATACAATATTTACTTAACCATTGTCGGATATTTTGTCATGGTTGCGACTTATTTGTCTTCACATAATACTAATTATATTATGACAGAAATTATTGGAATGAAATTAAAAATAGCTTTTTGCGCGATTATATATAGAAAGGTGAGTATTAATTATAATGTATTATGAATATATTATTATATTTATATGCTTCAGAAAAAAAGACCTTTTGAAATAAAAGATTTTCTGTGCTTATGTTTAGTACAAAAAATTATGATTCGTTGTTAATTTACACACTTTATTAATACGGGGTTTTATGTTCGCATTAAAGAATTAAATTTAATTAACATGGATACAAAATGTTCAATTCACTTTTGTGTTGTTTTCATGTACTGGTAAGTGCATAAATATTTCAATAGGAACTGCCACTGTTAATGACTATAATAAGCAAAGGTGACATGATGATAAAAATATTGGTGAGCTACTGCCATAGAAATTACCTCGCTTATAACAATTTATGTACGTGCAATTATTTATATGACTTGATTGTATTTCCCTGGATGCCCTAACTGCAATATAGCAAAATTAGTTCTGTAGTCGTTGGACACAAAGAAACGATGACAATAGCAAATTAACAAAATGAGCCCTTCAGACGCTCCGTACGAAACCAAAGAGTACGTAAAAAATAAAAATGCCGAACGTGTTTTTTCAATTTGATATTTGTCTTTACCATAAACAGAAAAGTACGCTTAAATGTACTTAAATTGTCACATCTTAAAACTTCTGTACCACGTTATTAAATATAAAGATGTAAAATTTAGTATTTATTTGCATTTTCCAAATATAAAGTCTCAGTTAAAAAAAATAGCTATTTATATTATTTTCGAAACATATCTTTACATGGCAATATGTCTTTTATCTTTATTAACATAGGTAAATGTTGTCTAACACGGTTAATTAACCCGTTATTTAACATTAATTCAAGTAATAGTAACACTTGTTGAAAAAGTTAGAAAATTTTATTCCATTTCTTTGTGTAACAATTTTGTTAAAAATTACTTTGTTATTAGAACATAACATATTTTTTATTATATATAAATTTTTTATAGGCAATGAGGTTAAGTCCTTCATCTCTTGAAAAATCGAATGTTGGGCAAATGGTAAATCTTATAGCAAATGATGTCAGCAAGTTTCAAAATGTAAGTTGAAGTTATTATTCTTATAAATATAAATACACATAGTGTATTAATATTTTTATCTGCTATAATAAAGTTACACGAGAATAAAAAGATTATTATGTATATGTAACTCAATTACAGGTACATGGGTTTACTTCAAAATCTCTGTTTTATTTACTATTAATTCTAATATGGATTAATTCGGGTAGATAATTATATATTCAAGTAATGAAGTGGTTACATCTGTCATATATACAAATATTGTAGAAGTATAACTGATGCTGTGGGTCTACTGGACCCGCGGCACATTTTCGATGTCGTTTATCAGCCGCTGTGCTCATTTTAATGGCATATGCGATTCAGCAGCTTAACAAATCTACTGACTAACATTGTGGTAGGCAGACGTGTTTCGCATGTAACAACGATATAGGTTTATAAGAGTTGTATGTGTCCATTGCACACAACAGTAATTTTACGTAATTTTGTTTCTATTGAAATGTTTCATGTTTTTTCCCTTAGCTTTTAATTTTTTGTTTCGAAATGGGAAACTTGACCTTGTGTGATTGGGTTTACAACTATTTTATGCAAAGCATGTTCGTAAAGTATTTACAAGCTTTACACTCATTGATAAAACACTAAAATCTGCTATCATTTTATATTCATGCCGATAAAATAGTGTTTCTAAAAAATTCAAAACAACGCAAAAGCTTGCCTGAATTGAAAGTGTACAACGATGTTTTTCACATTCAGAACTTATATAAATTACTGAAATTTATGAATACAGGTATACCTCGCCTTACGTCGGTAATTGGTTCCAGGAAAACGACTTAAGTCGAAAAACGACGTAAGTCGAATTTACTAGTCTCCAAATCTACTTGTCACTAGGCTAAACCATAAATTGCCAATTCCGGTTCTGTATTTTATTTATTAATGCATTTTTAATAATGTATGGTTAATAAGGATCTATTTTAAGCTTACAAACAAATAAATTTTAGTTTTTAATATAGTACAGAAAAAAGTATTCTAAATTTACGAATGCATGTACTGTAAATACAGTAGGGCCTACATACTTGTAAATGTATGCGTCGATTTTCCGAATCAATTGGGGATTGGGGTTGTCCGGATAACTGATATTTCGGATAACTGATTCAGGTACGAACAAATAGTTTAACGCATCCGATGTCGAAATTTTTCTCCGTTGCGTTTCGCTTCGCGTTGAATTTTCGTCGATGTTAAGCCTAACGAAGACTATTGAATTGTTAAAACTTATAATTTTATTTTGTACGAAAAAAATAAATATATTGAAAAATATAAAAATAATAAAAAAATTATACTTTAGAAGTTAATTTAGTATCAAAAACGTAAAATATTTGAGTAGCCCAAGACATAGCCAAAGATTGAAGCGCCACAGCACTGCCGAAAATTTAAATTTGCCGACTGGAATTCTTTCGGATGATTGACGTATCGGATGATTGACTTTCGGAAAATCGACGCTCTACTGTATTTTAATATGATTTTATGTGCTTTAAACATTTTTCTAGTAATATTACGACTTCAATATTTGTGGCGGACAGACGTAAAGTCGAATAAAATGACTTAAACTTGATTTTTATTTTTCCATATACAGTACTTTTTTGACAAACGACGTATAATCGGGAACGACGTAACTCGAAACGACGTAAGTCGAGGTATACCTGTATAATGCAATTCATTAATTTGATTTAATAATTAAACCATTTGTCAAACATAAATTAAAAATGTTTCGGAATATTACAATTTTCATCTTGTAATTTATATGCAATTTAGTTTTGATTGTAACAATCAGAAGAAACCTTTAATTTCAATTGAAAAATAATAAATGTAAGAGGAAAATTTTTATTGTGGAAGCACAACTGTATTTAAAAACGTGTCTTTTTTGAAGTCTTTCGGTCATACAGGCAGTGAAGATCTTATTGCCGTTCCTTCCCAACTCCGTCTCGTTGAGTTGGTTTCTTGTGTATCACGACTCGATGTAATGAATCAGGTTCGTTGGAAAGCACACCTCCACACTCAAATTGAATATATGTACAGTTTATTTACAGTTGTAGAAAGTACAAGTTGGAAAACATAGTGTATGTACAGGATAACCATGCGTAGTGAATTCACGTGCCAGATTGGCGTCTGGAAACTAATAACCTTTGGCGAGACCTCAGTCAGATTGTGGAGTCGGCTCAACTGCACGGTCGGTCCGGTCTTAGCACTAACCCGTCCCTGAGAAGATCAACAGAGGAGAACACTCTCTCTACACTCAGCGGGCTTCCCAAGTGCCTGAGACTACCGTGTACCAGTCTCTTGCCCTTCTCTCCTTTCCTCTCGTTCGGCCCGCAATTTAAGGGTTTTTGGACGGGGACTTCCGACCAATCACAATCCCTTTTCTTTGCCCGAACAGCTTACACTCGGGTCCGCC